GCAAGCCCTGGTAAGGGCCACAAGCTCAGCAACTTGAGCTGAATACTTCTTGGGCAAGTGACGGCTTTCTATAACATCATATTGGGAACATACTGCATATCCTGCAACAAGAGAACCTTTTGAGTTTCTTTGACATGACCCATCAACATAAAATACTAGATTTGGGTTTTGCAAGGGGGTGTCCTTTAGATCAGTGCAGGGCATTGTTAGGTGGGCAGTAACAGCAATACAATCGTGGGGTTCACCATCTGAAGGAATAGGCAACAGGGAGGCAGGGTTTAAAACAAGGCATCTAGTTAGAGTAATATTTCCAACAGAAAGAAGCAAAATTTCATACTTAGTCAATCTAGCATTTGAAAGGTTTTAGGTTTTAGTTTTTAGTAAAAGGGCTGCTACAACATGTGGGACAGCAACAGTAAGGGGAGAACTTAATACAAGGGTATAGGACAGTTCAACAGGAATAGCAGCTACAGCTACAGCACGAAAGACATGGAGGAAGTCCGGCTGCAACTGGGTCAAGAGCAGAGCTATAATGCGCAATGGGACGGTGCTTGTCTCCATGTGCTTGAGTGAGCACAGCAAGTGCAAATCTGTCTTTTTCATGACAAAAAAGAATAAAGGATTTAGTATAATCAGGAAAGCCTAGGGCAGGATCTTGTGACAGAGCTTGTTTAATAGAGCCAAAAGCAGCTTCAGCTTCTGAAGTCCAGGGCAAAGGCTCAGGGGTATTAACAAGAGTCAGGTTTTGCAGTGGCTTGACTATAGAGGCATAGCCAAGTATCCACTGGCAGCAGTAGCCAGCCATGCCTAGGAAAGTACACATTTGGGACACAGTAGTTGGTCTAGTGATTTTAAGAATAGCTTCTATTCTGGAAAAAGAAAGCAGTCATTCTTCAGCGGAAATATCATGACTCAACTAGTGGACACGAGGGAGACAAAGTTGTAGCTTTTCTTTAGATGCCTTATGGCCTTTTAGGGCAAGAGAGGTGAGGAGAGTTAAAGAATCAGCTTTACAGGTTTTAAGGGAG